AATAAACTATCATCTTGTCTTTATTTTTAGTTAGCACAGACCTTAAACACTTAAAGCTGTAAGCTAATGATAGTTATATAAGAGCAGATGCTACTGGTGCAATAAGTTGTATGTACAATGGATGCATGATCTGATTAATCGACTATCAAAATAATCGTTTGTGGCAGCCCGAGCTGCCTCTGTTACCAGAAGAATGAAACACAGTTTGGCATCTCTTCATATCGCGCCATCGGCCCCTCTGGCCATCACCAGTAGGTGGTAGGTGAAGTGTCTTGCCCAAGGACACAACGACTGAGACTGTCTGAGCCGGGGCTTGAACCGGCAACCTTCCAGTTATGAGACGAACACCCAACTCTTTGAGCCACGATCGCCCTTTGTGTTGTGTTGTGCCATCCGTTTCGCCAGAGGTTGTTTGGTTTCCCTGATGTATAAATCCTGTCAATCCTCCTGGCACTTAACAGCGCACACCAAGGGTGTAGATTTGGTTTTAGCATTGGTGGGGACGGATGATTCAACCTCCCAACCCTACCATGTTTCTTGTTTTTTTTCCTTTTTGTCTTTGCTTCTTGATAAAAAAGGAGAAATATACTTGCCTACATATGCTATTCTACATGCTTTTAAACCATTTAAAATTACAATAACATACATATATATATGTACAAAAAACTTGAATTTTACAATGTTTATTCATCGAATAAAATAAGTTAAATGTCACCGTCATTATTGTCCGGCCGGAAACAGCGGGGGTGTCCAAATTCAGAGGTTGCGTCCACCTGAGGACCCGGCCTTCGTGGTCCTCTGAAAGCCGGGTAGACCGGAAATGAGCGACTGTGACGATCTAGCCTTTAGAATTACGTCACGAGCTTTCTCGGTGGAGTGAAACTCAGCTGTCTGCTCCTTGCTATCTAAAATATAACCGGACATTTTTTTTCGACCATCTCACACTTCTTTTTAATCAGTTATCTATTTGATGTTTATTCAGCTGTGAGAAAACCCCGGAGGAACCCTCCCGAGGGATTAATAAAGTTTTATTTAATCTAATCTAATCTAATAAAAGACCTAGCAGGTCTTTGAGGTCATCTGATCAGGGCTTACTTGCTTTAAAAAATACTAAGAGGAGGACTAAGGGTGATAGTGCCACTGTGGCCCCCAGACTGTGGAACTCTCTCCCCCAAACATTAAGAACTGTGGACTCAGTAGCTGTTTTTAAAAAACAACTCAAAACTCACCTTTTTAAAACTGCTTTTGGTTAATTTTTTGCCTGTTTTATTTTCTCTTTTTAAATCTTTTTATGACTTGTAATCTTATGTGCAGCA